GGCTAGGTTATGCCAGGCGTGTAACAAATCAGTGTTGAGTAGGGAGGAAAGGTCCACAGCCAAAGCTATGGGGTAGGTCAAACCCCCAGAGAGCAGGGAGAGTGGGGCCAGGAGGGCCCTGGGTCAAAGCCCTAGTGAACACCATTATTAAAGGGATTGACTGAGAGACTGAAAGGAGTCTGCAAAGAAAACAGGAGAACTGGGAATGGGATGCCCCAAAAGGATTCTAGGTGAAAAAGTAACCTGATCATATCCAAACAAATACTTGTTGAGTATCTACAATGTGTGTCAACATGTCTGAGGATTCAAGGAACACATGTGACAACTCTTTTTGAATAGAAGAAATTTTGAAATGCTTCTATACTAATTTTCTCTTATTCATCATCTTCCAGTGATGAAATGAATTCTAGAAATACTATGCTTAAAAATAGCAATGTTTGTTGAACAGGCCCAGTTTTTAAAAATAATTATGTTAAAGGAAAAGCATGACTACTGGAGCTTTTTTGTTAAATAAATGTTATGTTTGCCAATAACCATTCAAGAACATATCTCCCTAGGTAAGGCTTACCCCAGTATTGCTGCTTAGGTCAGTGTCTGTCTGGATTATCTGTAGCCTAAATGCCAACACTGTAAACTAAACCTGTCAAGTGACAGCTTCACCATAGCATGCATAGCCAACCTTTAAAATTTATTTATACTCCATTCCCTTTCTCTGGCCAGGTTAAATTCTCCTTTCCTAAGCTATTTTTGCCTCACTTCAGACTGTGGCATAATTCAACATGTTCTAAACAATTACAAAGAGATTATGGCCCGTCTGATTTCAAGGCCCAAATGATTTTTTTTAAGCTTTTATTTATTTATTTTTTAATATCTCTTTATTGATTTCAGAGAGAGGAAAGGAGAGGGAGAGAGAGAGACAGAAACATCAATGATGAGAGAGTCACTGATTGAGCCCGCAACCCGAATGCCCAACTGATTTTTATTCAGAACAGCAAAAGAAATTTTTTCCAAGTTGACTGAAAATAAGTTTTTCTCCAGCTAGATTCCTCCAGGTATCAGTATGTGAATCATTTATAATGGCATGCTATGAAAATGTTAGGAATTATAATAGGTTCATAATAAAGCCTTTATTCAGTTGTTCCAAGGAAACAGTTCTTTCCAGCATGGGAATGGAAATACTATTTTGACTGATCTATCACATCTTAATATGTTTGCTGAACCTCCACAGAAGTAAATATTAAGTGGCAGGATTTCTAATGTGAAAACACTTTTTCATCTAATTTGAAGACTTTCCTAAGCAGTTTCCAGGTTCACATTTAAGTTGATTTAAATTAGACATAAAATGTAAAGAGACATAAAATGGACATAATAGAGATTGACTAAAAAGAATTCTTTTCAAAAATTGCCCTAATTAGTTTTTTGGAAAAAAACTATTGATTGAGTTTGATGATTTAATAAAATGTTTATTTCAGGATTCATTTATCTAAAGATATTTACATCTTCAGCACCCACCTGGGTGGATGACTGACAGTTTTTACATCTGACACGTACAAAACACAATAGCCCAAGTACAGCTACTGGCCTATGGACTTTGTCCTTCAAAGGTTTGGCAAGCTTAATAGCTCTTTGGGGATTTCTGTGTCTAAACTGCCCACAGAAATGATGATGCAGCCCTGCTGTTTGGTTTTTATTATTCATCAAACTTATTTAAAAGATTTAATGTCCTCATCACAAAAAGGACATTGTAACTATGTATAGGGACAGATGTTAGCTTGACTTAGTGTGGTGATTTATATATCAATATATTCAAATATCAAATCATGATGTTGGACACCTGAAACTGTTACGTGTCAATTATACCTCAATTTAAAAAATAATTACACAAATATATATTGGGTATGAAAAAAAAAGACTTGATAAAACTAAATCAATGTCTTAAGGGAAGAAAGCTAAGTCACTTTTTAACATAGATCATGCTTTAGTTTTGAAAAAATTCACACACTGGAAATTGTTTGTTCACATTTTAAAAACATTTTTTCACAATCACACAAGAAGATTAATTTTGGATGTAATATAAAATAGGCTGCTGTTGCCCTAGCCCATTTGGCTCAGTGTTTAGAGCACCAGCCCATGGATGGAAGGATCCTGGGTTTGATCCGGTCAAGGGCACTTACCTCATTCAGTTACAGGCTCTATCTCCAGCCCTTTCGGGGTGCCTGTGGGAGGCAACCAATCTATGTGTCTTTCACATAGATGTTTCTCTCTTTTTTCTCTCTCCCCATTCTACTCTCTCCAAAAAGCAATAGAAAAAAATATCCTTGGGTGAGAATTAAAAGAGAAAAAAAATAGGCTGCTCTATATCATCAAAAGGATAATAAAATTTTATAATGCTGATAGGAGCCATGGCTGTATTTCTGAATTTTTAGGATACTTCTTAAATATGGGAATATACTTAAGATCACCCTCTGCACCCGTATCCAGAAACCCACTGGGGTTTCTGTGGGTTTACAGTGTTTGGCTAAGAAGTAACTTGCAGCTGGGCATCTTGTTTAGTGAGAGAAGTCTTCCATTTCAGGGCTTCTGGAGCATTGGCTTTCAGAGATGTTTTCTTGCTTTTGGATGTCTGGACCACTGTTTGCAAGCCTGCTGGCTCAGGCCGGAGATCCTCTGTTAGTTAATACGGGTGCTGATGCTCCAAGTGTAAATCTCTCGAGTTTTGAGTCTGCAGACCACATGAGTCTCCTGACCAACGTTGGGATGGACTACTGTTCTCTAAGAATTAGCAGCTTGAAACTATTGGTCTGAGTAGAGCAGACACCCTTAGCACAAGTGAACCACAGTGGCACAGGTCACGTGTAAACACGGCATCTGCCAGAGTGGCAGGCCCATGACTAAGAGAATCTAGTGAGCTGGTCAGCAAGGCCATATTTATTCCTTGTTAAAAGTGTTTCCTTTCTCTCAATAGCAACAGCTTTCTCTAGTTTTTCACCCTTGGACTATGACTTTTTCACAGAGGCTAAGACCCTCCGAGGCTGAGCAGTCCACTTGCGAGTTTGAGCCCAGCTTTCAGGGCTTGATGAGCGTAATTGTCTGGATACTTCATGTCAGCACTGCTTGCGGTAATTATAGGATCTGTGGATCACAAGGCTCACAACCTGTATCACAAGTTCTACAAGGAAACTGTCTGATACTGATTTGCCTCTGCTTACCATTTGCTGAATGTATGCCTTGTCTCACCAAATTCATTTTTTGAAAAGTCATTACATGAAAAACTTTAATATTCCAATTATCATCACTGTGCTGACCAACTTTTGTAGCAAAGGGAGCTGACTGAATATGTTTTCTAACTATATTGCTGTAAATGTTGGTAAGCCTTTTCTTAGTTCTGCTCATGATGCATCTCCAATATTTTCTCCCCATGTGACCTTATTTTAACTTTGCCAAAAGTCTTTTGCCATATGGAAGTTTTAAATTTTATATAATGAAATCTTTCATTTTGCTCCCTGACCTATTGAGGAAGGCCCCTCCCACCCTAAGATTTCTTTATAATGTCATTGTGAAGGGTCATGTATTTCCCAAGCTCTTCGGCTTTCTTTGATTTAGGTGGATTCATTGGCCGGCAAGTTACTTTAAAGTGAAGATGAGTAGACGTGTTCCTGTAACAACCTGACCCCATTCCTTTTTTTTTTGAAAGCACTCGCCTCGTTTATAATGTTTATAAAAAAAAGTTGAACAACTATGCAACCACACTCTCTAAATATAAGTTCTAATAAATCCTAAGGCGCCACGGGGCAGCGACTGAGGACACAATTTGATCCTTAAAACCCTCTCCAATCTACTGGCCCGTGAAAACAGCAAACAAAAGGCCTCTGTCCGAAGAAACGCCGAGTTCTGCGAAGCAGGTGAAAGTCCTGCTGACTCCCTCCGGAAAGCGGAGCAGAAAGGGTTTCCAGATGATCGGCGGGAGGCGCCCCTGCGCAGCACACACCCGTCCTGATGAGGCCCCGCTGCTCCGGGCCCCAGATTACCAGGACCGGGGGGCAGCGGGGCCCAGCACGAACAAAGAGAACGGCTTTCGCTCTGACGCAAGAGAATTCCATCAGGCCTGGGCAAAACGTCACGTTCTTCGTCTTCCAACGCTTCCCGGGAGCGGCCTTCCGCGAGGGGCCGGCGCGGCCAGCGAGCCCAAGGACAAAGCACGCCTGTGGTTTCCCAACGCCGCGGCCGGGCCAGCGGCGGCTGCCAGCGTCCGTAGTCCTGGAGACGGGACCAAAGACAAACATAAAATAAAAATACCACAGGGAGCCTGGGGCTTGATCCGCATCACGGGAGAGTCTCCCCGTCCGAGGCGGGATGAGGTGGCGAGGATAAGTTCCTCCCCGCTGGAAAGCGCCCCCGGCGACGAGTTACTCTAGCCGGAGCCCAGGCCGGTGGCGGCGAACGTGTTGAGTCATCGGGGAGGGCGGTCATGCGACAGAGCGATGACTTGCTGACGGAGGTCCTGGGGCGCCCAGGTGCCAAGGTAAACGGCTGGAAAAGGTGACTGCGTTTATGACTTAGGCTAGAAGCGAGCAGCACGGGGACTGAGACACGGTTCCAGCCCCAAAGGGACGGCATGTTAAGTTCGAGGCAAACTTCAAGCCTCCCGTGTAAAGCGTGCACCCCCTCCGTGGTTTTCAAGCTAAGAACCTGGGTTTGCGGCGCGATCCCCCCCAATCGATAGATCGGGGCCTTTTCCCGCTTCCACCCCTTCCCACGCCCAGAGCTCGGCCGCCCCGGAGTCCTTCCTCAGCCCCTTCCCTCCCCGGCTCCGGAGCGCCCAGCCATTCATCAACCGGTTCTCACCGGCGGCAGCCGCCGGCTGGTGACGTCCGCCGGGGGCGGACTTCCGCCCCCGCTGCTAGGCGCCCGGCCCGGGGGCCCCCGGCCGTGATTGGTGGTCGGGGCTGCTCACGTCGCGCCGGCTATAAAAGAGAGGGTTTGTGACGCAAGGGCGCCTCGGCGCGGGTATTGGCTCTGTCGACTGCGGACCGGCTTGGCTACGCGCTCTCCTCGGAGCGGTTCACTGCATGGTAGAGTCTGGTACCCCCGCTGCCGTCTGCAAAGCCGCCGCCGCCTCGCCGCGACCACTGCCGCCCCCTGCCCTGCAGCCGCCTTCACCGCCGCCTCCTGTGTCGCCGCCGCCTCGGGACCGGCTGTATGATTAGGCCACAATCTTCAATGAGTAAACATATTCCTGTGAGTATCCGTCGCACCGCCGCCCCTCCAGCCGGGGTTCCACGACCGCCTCCCCCCCCCGTCCCCGCGGTCGTCTTTGTTCAGAGCCCGGCGTCCCTTCTCCGCCACCCCGGCCCGCAGTTTCGATGGGTCCCAGGCTGGCGGGAGGGAGCCGAGCGACGGCCCTGGGGCCGGCCGGCGGCGGCTGGCTGCGGGGAAGCGGACGCC